CACTCGAACCTGTCAAGGGATTCCACCAAAACTTCAGAAATATCTTTGACCTATAATTGGACACACAACTGCCAAGTTTCATGAATCTGACTTGATTATTCTTCCAAATATTTAAAATTAGCTTCTGGAATTGTATGGCAGGTACCCGAACCTGTAGAGCAATTCCACTAAAACTTCAGAAATATATCTGACCTATAATTGGACACATGACTGCCAAGTTTCATGAATCTGACTTTATTATTTTGCCGAATATAAAAAATTTGCTTTTGGAGTTGTATGGCAGGTACCCCAACCTGTCAAGCAATTCCACTAAAACTTCAGAAATATATCTGACCTATAATTGGACACATGACTGCCAAGTTTCATGAATCTAACTTTATTATTTTGCCGAATATAAGAAATTTGCTTTTGGAGTTGTATGGCAGCCACCCGAACCGGTGCAGCTATATTATTAAAATTTTTAGAGCATATGTAGAATATAATTGGACACATGTATACAAAATTTTATATTTGTACCTTTATTAGTTTTTGAAATATTTAAAATAAACTCTTTGAGTTGTATGGCAGCTACCCGAACCCGTTGTCCGAATTTGTCCAATAACAATAGGGTTCGTCCTTGGCACAAAAGAAACAACTTGTGAAAGTTTGGTGTCGATTGCATTATTCGTTTTTGAGTTATCGTGCGATCGGACGGACGGACGGACGGACGGACGGACGGACGGACGGACGGACGGACGGACGGACGGACGGACATGTCTAAATCGACGCAGAATTTTACGCTGAGCAAGAATATATATATATGTCCATACCGCAGATGACTCCTTCAAGTAGTTACAAACTCCATACCAAAGTTAATATACCCTTCACGAAGTGCAGGGTATAAAAAAGGAGAATAAAAATAATAGAAAATTCACAAATAATATTGTACCTAAGGACACGTACTATAGTATCAACAAGAGATCGGTTACTTCAGATTATTCAAGTAAGTTGATTCAACTAAATGAGTAAATGAAAAATTTCTTATTTTAAGTTTTGTGAAAGAAAACAAGAAGGAGGACAAAGAAAGATAGCAATAAAAAAGAGAAAAAAGCAAAAAAAAAAATTTACGATAAAAATATTTTTTAATTGAAATTTAGGATGACAAGTACTGAAAGAGTGATTTGGGGTAGGAAAAAGACGAAAAAAAAAAATATAAAGAAAAAGTTTTTTTTTTCTTTTTTGTGTAAAAAGTCTTCTTTAATTGATCCTTTTTTTGAATTGATAGCAATTAAAGAATTTTTTTTTTCTTCTTCTTTGTTGTCTTGCCTTATTTGTTGACTCAATTTAATGTACATGGTTATATTTATATAAAAATTTTATAAGAAAAGGACTTGTATATGAAAGTAGTAAGAATTAAGATCTTTAACAAAGTTCTTTTTAGAACGTCTTTTACGTAATAAACAAAAAATTTTCTATTTAAAAGTTTACTTTGTAGGTGGGTACAGTTTTTGTCAATGAGAACACCCCCAATATTTTGAAAACAGCCAAGTTGTAAAATTTAGTACAAAAAATTTTATAAAAATTAATTCTTATATAACAAGATGTACAAGTTTAAAATAAGAATGTTTAATTCGGAGCTATTCATAAATGTTAGAATTTTGACAACTTTTAAAATTTTAGATGAGAAGAAATTTGGTAAAATCCGACAGAAAAGGCGCTAAGGTACATTTTTTTAAAGTTGCAGTATTCCGTTTTGAGTAAGTAGACAACAATGTTTTTCAGTCTAACTGCAAAAAGTTTTTAAATCTGTATTTAAATTTTTAAAAGATTGCTAAATATTTTGTTAATTTTAACAAATTTTGTCATGCAATATTAACTAAAAATGGAACACTTTTTATACAACTACATAAAAATATAATGTAATAAATCCCAAAACCCAAATAATATTGTTAGTGTGATAATTAAATATATTAAAAAATGAGAAAAAATAGAGTTAACCATGTCAACTCTCTGATATCTGTACGAATTTGTTATCCTATGCGCGAGTAAATAAGCCATAGCTGACTATGAGACAGATCATGACTTTAATTTGCCGTATTACGACTTTTGTTTATCGAAAACGAAAAATTTCTTTACTGCGATTTCAATAATTTGTACGACATGGCCTAACTACTATTGAAGTTTTATGGCAGCTACCATAAGGAATCAAGAATTTTCAACTCATTTTATCACATATAGTACTAAAGCTCTAATAATACACTTATTTTCACGAAATTTCTATATTAGAATTCCAATATAATTACTGGAACTGTAAATAATTTTCGGTAATGTATGGCAGCTATCCGAACCTCGATCAGATCCAATTTAAATAAGATTCCGGCATTTGCTATAATAAATAATTTGTGAAAATTGGGTGAACCTTAATTATATTTTGAGTTATCATTGAGACGGACAAATGGACGGCTAGATGGACAGACATTACTAAATTCACTCAGAATTCGACGTTAGACAAAAACGTACACTTATGTCTATATCACAGACCATTATTTCTTAACGTTACAAACGGTAAAACAAATTTATTATACCCTTTCAATATACGTTCGTATAAGTATAAGAAACGAGTATCTTTTATGAGTATTCTTTTACTTTGATTTAATTAAAAAAAATATTGTTTTAAATTCTTTTAATTTTATTTTTACAAAACTTTATTTCAACCCTTTAATTAAAATATCTCTCCTTCAATTATATTAATTTTAATGAATATTTTCTAAGTGAGTGATTTAAAATATAAATAAGGCAACAATGGCTGTAGACATAGAATGGCAAATTATTTTATATGCTTTATTATATATAAAGTTATATACGGGTAATGTAAGCTTCAAATAATTTTTAAAAAATTTATTGAGTAATATTATAAAAATAATTAATTTAATTAGTCTCATATTTAAACGGTCTCTTCCAGAAATTTTTAATATGAATGAAGTTAATAATGTTTCAATTTGAAAGCAATTTACATAAGGATCAAAAATTAAAATCAATTTTTTCTGGAAAAAAAAAGAAGGAAACCATTTTATGTTACTGTCAGCGGATCGCAATTTAAGAGTTTTCTTGCAATATTTTCCATCAATATTAATCCTGATTCAAATAAAGCAGTCACACCACCAATATGGCAACACCAATATACTCCTTATGTTACTCTCTTAACACAACTGAATGTTATTGCCGCGTTAATTTTTCTTATACCTTTAATATTCTTCAATATTTTCTCGTCTCACTTTCATAAACTCTTGATTTCTTTCTTTGTTCGTTGTTATTAAACTAAAGATTGTTACTACTTTACTCATCTTTGCACATTATATTATATTATTAATCAAAAAGTATACATATATTTTCGGATTTCAACTTTTTTTATTAAAAAAAAAAATAAAGTTGAAAATTTCGCAATTAAATATAAAGAAAATTTTTACGAAAATAACAGGAGTATTCATATACATACACATATACAAACAGATGCAATTGCTAAGTTCAAAGACCGATATGAGATATGAATTAAAAATTCAGAAGAAACGTGAAAATTTTTTGTAAGATAAATGTGTAATATGCATATACATATATGTATATTATAATATAAGAAGCAGTTACTTCTAAAGTTGCTAAAAATAAAGTTTTTAATTAAAAACTTTTATCGAAAAAATCTTAAAATTCTGCAAAAATAAAATCGATAAAGCTTAACAAATTGTGTTCGGTTTTTTTTTGTCTCGCTCCCAAACAAGATTTTCTTATATTAAGTTCTCAAATAATTGAATACACGCATATGCATTCACCATTTTATTATTTTAGTATTTGTTATTTAAATTCTAAGATAAAATGTTTCTTTATTTATACAGTATTGTAATTAACCCGTTCATTAGTATAAAAATTTATGCTTTATGATCACTCCAAATATCACGTTACTACATAGCAGATTTAGTTGTAAAATCCTGAATGCTGCAGTATATTGCTGGAGTGTTATTAATAGTCTATAAATTTATATTATAAAGGGATATTTATTCGGTTCAAATAAATGGCGTCTTGATTCCGTCAGCAAACACGGCGAAGTATTTAGGAATGACGTTGGACGTAAAGAAAAACATAAAGCACATAAAGGAGCACATAAAGAAAAAGAGATCTCAACTAGAGGAGGAATACAGAAGGTTTAAATGGCTTTTGGGGAGGCGTTCTAAATTGACAATATACAACAAAGTTTTGATATATAATCAAATATTTAAGCCTGTCTAGGCTTACGGTATTCAGTTATGGGGCTGCGCTGCGCAGACTCATATCCAATCTATACAAAGATTTCAAAATAGAGTATTACGGGACATTGTAAACGCCCCTTGGTATGTCCGTAATGCCGATATACACAGGAATCTCACGATCCTAAGTGTCACAGACGAAATTAAAAAGCAAGCATCCAATCATAAAATGCGTTTATCCAATCATGTCAACATCGAGGCGGCTCGATTGGTTGACAATCAAAACTTTGTTAGGAGACTTAAACGTACGAGACCTCTCGAGTTAGTTTAAGGCTTTTTATCTGGAACAATGAGTACTTAGAACGCTATTGTGCCATATCAAAGGCTTGTAAATAATCAAAAAAGTTAGAGCAAAATTAATGGTTAGCCGTTTCCGACTACTATTATAGTTTATTTTGAGGAGGGTGTAGATTGAAACTGAAATCAGTTATTTCATCCTTAAATAATCATTTTATGTACACCTTTATATCTGATACCACAACTGAATTTTACTCTGTAATGACTACAAAATTTTAAAGATTTTTTCATCTTAAATAAATTATCAAAAGATAAAAATTAAATCAGACCAACAAAATGATATTGTTTTAACAAAATATATTAATTTTATTTTCCTAATCAATATTCCTTACAGGATAATGATTATTTATCTTTATTTTTCTCTTTCTCTTTTCAATTTTTCATTCATCAATTCCATTTTGTTGTGGATGTTTAAATGAACGCAGTTCATTCGGAAAAAATTAAAATGTTGGACATAACAAGAGATAAACCAGTCAAAGTAGCAGTTAGAGTAGCAGTTCCAGTCAGAGATCATCCCAAAGTAAGTATAGTAAAACAAAATTTATTTTTATATTAAAATTCATTCATTCACATCAAATAAATAAAAGGAATGGTAAAATTGAAAAGAAAAATCCAAATAAATTAGAAAAGTAAAATAATTTTTTTTTTTCCACCATTCATTTTGCAAACATCAATTAATTTTTTTTTTATTGCAATTTACAAAATGCGTAGGTAATTTTGTTTCAAATTAAAAGTTTTTTTAAAGGTTAATAATACTTGTGACATTTATCACGTAATTAGAAAACAAAAACCAAAAAAAAAAAGGAAAAATAAATTAAAATTACAAAAAGTTTAAAAAATTTTCTAAAAACACTTCACATTCATTTAGGCACTGTATATGATATCTGTATAACAATGATAATGTTAAATATAAAAGTTTATTGTTTGTATATAAAAAACATAAAAATAGTTAATAATAATTAATGTTAATTACAATTTGATAAGACAAAAAAGTTTGTATGAGATCCTTGTGGCACAAATCAGGCATTTTACTAAAAATTTTAAAGAATTTCACGTAATATGAAAATTCGAGACATGACAAATTGACATTATATATGTAGAATATACTTAGTTAAATTTTTCTATTATCAAGAATAAAATTTTCTGTTAGTAATTTTTAATTAGAAAACTTTAAAACTACCTACATTTCTGTAAAAATTTTTCAATCCTCCCACTCTTTATTTTGTTGTTGCTTAATTTTTTTAACGAAATTATTATCGAATAAAAATTATGTGAAAAGTTTAAGTAGAATAAATAGATATAGACAATTTATAGCATGAAGATTAAAAGTAGACTAAGAATATAAAATTGTTATTAATTAACTATGTTTTACGAATTTAAGGATCATTAAAAAATAGTCAGTTTTAGTGTTATATATTTATGATATACGCAGCATTATTCTATTATTACATATGTTTGAAAATAGCTTAATAATTTTTTAAGAAATAATCGAGCTCCTAGAAATGTTCAGATTTAACAGCAACTGTTTTAAAACTAAGTAAATTATTTGCAAATTAAAAAAATCAAAAAATACGATAAATTATGGCAGTTTAGCCTACAACTCATTTGCATGGAGTACTTGTTATTTGTATTCTTTACAAATATCACATCAATACTTTGGTAAAAATTGATATGGACTGTAGTTAATTTAGTTTGGAAAGTTGTAACATTGTGGTAGGTAAGATAAGGTCAGGTTAACGTGACACATAGGCGACTGTCTACCCTTCGGTGGACCGCGTAATTTTAGTTACTTCAAAGTTATGTTAAATATGTAAGCCAAAACATAATATTCTTCTGTACAATAATTTTTAATTACTGGTTCAGGTCCTCACATTTCAGGAACAAAAAAAAAATAATTATTACGAATAATTTTTATTTTATCATTGATTAAAATTATTCTCGTTTATGTCTCCATGACACATCAAGAATTCCTTTTTAATTTTTAATTCCTTTACCGTACGGTTTTTAGTCTTTTGGAATACCTAGGGTTTTAGTTTTATCAATATTATATTCTTCTTTCAATTGTTTTCTTTCTTAATCCTTACACATCAATACATTACTAGATTCGTAATTGTCAACTATTTCATTTAATTCTTCATTATGTTTCTACAAGGATTAAAGTTATCTAAAATTATTCTATAAATTTTTCGACATCTTTTTATTTTTAGAAGAGTTTTTCATTCAAATGTTACCTTAATATTTTTAAAATGTCTTTCTTAAGAATCAAAGGAAATTTTCCCCTAAAAATATGCAATATTTTATGATTATTTACTTACAAATTGTAATCTTTCAATTCTACATATATACACATGTGCTTAATTGTGCTCTATCATTTTAGTAACTTTAATTTGAATTTTATCGAAACATTGGTTCGAACAGTGGAAATTCAGTTTTAGTAATTAAATAACTTCATAATCTATAAAAGCCACGAGTTTCATATGTATTTTTTACAAGAAATTTATGTAGTCAGTTAAATATTTATCAAATACATGCATTTATCAAAATTGCAAAATTTTCTTAAAAATACATGAAGAAATTTCCATTAAGATAAATACTTAAAAATACAGTTGCATGAAGAAATTTCCATTAAGATAAATTAGTAGTGTAATAAGCACATTCTTATTAATTCGCAACTATGATGTTGTATTAGTAAAATTCATAACAACAATCTTACTTCATCAATGGACGCCATAAGAAGCAAATTATTTTTTCAAATTATTCATTTAGTTCAGTTTATTGAAAAACTAATTTCTAACAATAACAATTTATGTAGACAAATTTAAACTCCAATAATAATTTTTTATAACAAAATTTCTAAATTTTAAAAGTTTTAAATTTGTCGAAGAATATTTTCAAGTAAAGATTTACAATACTATAAGTATATAATAGAAAAGTTTTAATTCAAGAAATTGTTATATAGGCAAACACTTAAAACTAAATGAATTGCAAAATTTTTAGATTAAAAGACTAAAACCCACACAGATTATATTATTTTAAAATAATAACTTTAAAACAAAAAAAAACTTTTTTTTTTAAATAAAAACTTTTCGATTTCAATTAAAAATCAAAAGTAATTAAAATATGCTTTCATATGCAAACTATTCATCTATGATAAAATACAAAAGATATCCTTATTTTCTAATTCTTTTTTTCTCTTACACACCATATTTTTATTATCTATTTCATTACCATCTCATATAATATGCTTGAACTATTAAAAGTTATAATAACAAAAGTAATTAGAGTGTTATACATGCATACTCGTATAATATTGCATGTACAATATATATTGTATATAAGTTAGCACAAGTTAAATTATCAGTTTGAAGTTCGTGATTTGGTAAAAAATTTTTTAAAGTACACCAATTATTAATATATTATGTATGTATATGTATATTTGCATAGCTGAAGATACAATATGCGAGTATGTTAATGGTACCATGTATTAAAAGATAACTTTACTTAATGTTTAAGCTTCATTACAAGAAAATTACTTAAGTGATAATATCCTAATAGAAACATTTAATATCCTTTGAAAATTAATGTGTTTATATTTGTCTTGAAGAGAATTTGCATATTTATATCCTATGCTCTATGTACTGTTATGGTATGAGAATGCTAGTGGTTTTATTTGCACATACAAATTCACATTATCTATTTCATTATAATAATGTGAAAAATATAAATTGTAAATTACATGTTACGGGAACACCTTGCTTACGCGCTTGTTGAAAATAATAAATTTGAAGAATATATAAGTTGGAATAGTATAATGGAACGATAAGTTGTAACAGGTTTATAATAATCGGAACAAGAAGCTATTTAAATGTGCTATAGTAATAGGGAAATTAATCAACATGAAAATATGGTCACAATGGAGACTACATTCCGTTCCGTCATAGGACATTTTCTTGACGTTTTATTTTTTTGATATTTTATACGTTTTGTCTGAAACTATTTGGCCTTTATTCAAAATAAATTTTACTTGGAAAATATTTTAACAAAAATAATTTCAAAATTTTTTATTTGAGCTTATTTAGGAAATATTATAGCAAAGTCAGATTGTTTAAGGCAAATCTTCAACTCAAATTTCCATTTTGGAAGTATTTGGGAGATTAGTAATCTTTTTAAAATTACATTCACAAAACTGTTCAACATGCATTCATGTACATGATCCAATCAATTTTTTGATACATAACACCAAAATTCATAATTTTCTATGCTCAAATGTTCCGGAAAATATCAACAAATTCATTATATCTACTACTTTTATACGTTTACCGATTCAAATTCATAAGTTACAGCAGCTTCAATTCAAAATGTTTATTACAGTTTGATAAATGTTCAAAAATTATAGATAATTAAGCGTATTCGATAAAAGTTTCTATGATCTAAACCCAATTTCCCATTCGTTCTCTATAATTTATTACTTTTTATTGAATTTCCTCCTATATTAACCGTTATTAATTCGTATACATAGAATACTAAAATTATAAGAATTTTATAAAAATAATGAATAAGAAAATTATTTTCTATTTTAAAAATAAATAGCCAAAAATATCTCAAATCTAAAATAATAGCAATTATATTTCATTTTATATTTGAATTATTCAAAATTTTCTGATTGAATGAATCTTTTCAAATAAAATATACAATTTTGAATATATTTTGAATATAAAATAATTATGAAAGAAAACAATATAAAATTTTTTTTCGTATAATATATAAAGCAAATATTTATCTGTTTTATAATAAAATTTTGATTATTAAATTAAATTTAATTAAAAATAATTTATTTATTTTTGAAAACTATTGATGACTGAATTTTCATTTTCCATGTAGCTTTATTGTATTGTTTCTATATAATATTATGATTAAGTTAATTTTAAATTAATAAATAATTTCAAAAATTTTCAACCGAAAATCATAATCAATAAACAATAATGTTCTAATTGTACAAAATTAATAAAACAATATGAAAATTAAATTCGATGTTTATAGTTCACTGTTAAAAATTTAAATATAAAATTAGTAATTTTTTCAGTAGATCAAAATAATAATGAATTTTTATATAGTTTTGTAAAATTATTAAAATATACACTTGTTAAAAATAATGGATATAAAAAAACATTATTCAATCAATCAAACAATATCGGAAATCGATTTTAAAATCGCTTGAAAAGTGATTTTTCAAATTTCTGCACTCTTCAAGACAGAAAGATAAAATACATAGATATATACATAGATCGTTACTATAAACTTATTTTCATAGAAGAAAATTTTTATCTATTTCCCCGCCCTTCCAAAAATTATAGCCTCATAAACCCTTAAAAATGCCAATTTTTAAGGGTTTATGGGGCTATAAAAAACACACATATTTTAAATTCTGCAATAGCAGAAAAGTAATGACTTGCTCCTCCTACCAGGTAATACAATATTTGAACTTAAAAAAAAAAACAAACTTGCCGTCAAAGTTTACCGTTTTCGTCTAGACGGCAGATTTTAGAAGTGCAAAATTTTAACAACTTTTAGACCCTAATAAATAGTTAATTTCATTAGAAAAAAATATTTTTCCTCGTCCAACCCCTCTCAAGTTATAGCCTCACGAAATTTGTAATCTGTAAGCCTTTCCAAATTTCTATAAATACAGATAGCTAACTGGAACAAAAAATATAATTATTTTTCTTTAAATGACGTAATTTACTCTTCAATTCATCCTAAACCTATGCAATTTTTGAAAGATTTTCTTATATGTATGAAAATTATTTTAAAAGTGCAGTACATTGCCTGTCTTTAAAAGCAGTATTTTCATCTGTTGACTTGACCCATTTTTTATTTCATTCTTTATTTCTTATCTTTATTGAATATTATGAACAATATTTTGTTATACAACAATGAAATGGCATTTCCATTTAAATTGTATCTTCATAACATTCGTTTTCTTGTTTTATACAGGCGTGCTTTATATTATTATAATATTGTTATTGAAGCTTATAAAATCCCCCCTTAAGGCGGTTTTTAAGGAGGTATCTTCCGACTAAAACATTCGTCTTACAACCAACATAGTCAGGTCGAAATTAAGTCACAAAATTCATATAAATTTTGTTACACTTATTTATTTCTTCAATTTGTTATACTTATGGAAATTAAATGCGAATTTTTCTATTTATCTTACCCAAATATTCAAAATTAACTAGTTTAGTAGAAAAAATGTTATTTACGAAAAGCGTACGACAGTTTACACATAAATTTTTAACAGTGTATATAATTTATTATATGTAGTTTTATTTGTATTATAAGTACAATTTATGCAATATGTTGTTTTAATAGAATACAAGATAATCTTTCAATTATTATATTTCCAAAATGTCATCATATTTAAAATAATATTTAACATTTTATACTTATACAAATACGCATAATATTTATAATGTTGGTTTTAATATTTTCAGCGAAATTCTATTCATTTATTTAAGAAATAATATTTTTTTTACTATAGATATTTAATTTAAATTCTATATATAGCTATAGAATGTTATTATAAATCATATTTTATTGTAATATATTTAAGCTTATAAATATGATTAAGAGTGTCGAGTACAATATTTGCAAAAAAAAAAAATCATCAACTCATTCTTTATATAAATTTAAATTTCAATTTCCTTTAAAAATACACAAAATCATCATTTTTAAGTGGTATAAATTATGCATTATTGTATTGTATGAATAATACACACACACCTACACATTTAATATTGTCATAAATTTTATAACTTAAAATAATATTTTAAAAGTGGTCAAAAAAAAATGTTTTTTTTTTTTTTTTTTAACTAAAATGATTATTAACTAAATACTGAGAGAAATCATTTATTTTTATTTTTTTTTGTATTTGTTGGTGTCACATATCACTAAATGAATATTTATTTTTGTAAGTTGACAGCTTCATTTTACAAAATAACTATTTTATGTGTGTATAGGTATATGTATTTTAAAATAACAATAATTTGATATACATATTATGTATATTGATATATTACAGTATATATATGTAATAAATATATGAGTGAATAAAAATAGTGAAGAATAACTGTAACCCATTAATAATGTCGCCAAAGAAAATTTTGAGTTATGACATGTTTTTTTTTTTTAGATGCATACATATACATATATACATGCATGTATTTGTTAAATTTATGGTGACTATTCGAAAACTATTTTGCACATTATGAATATATGACTATAAGTCTATCTTAACAGATGATGTAATTTCCATATATGTATGCACTTACTACCTACATACATTTTGAATAAAAATTTTTGAGTCATTTTTTATGATAGATACTGGGGGGTTCGAGTAAAAGAGATTTGACTGTACATATTTTAAAAATTTAACATTTTAAATTGTTGTTTTGCACTTGTAAGCTTTATGAAATCTGATATTTTAAAAATTTTTAAATAAAATTTTTGTCAAAAATTTTCCCAAAAATTATACAAAGTCGAATTTCTATTCATTTTATGAAAAATTAAAATCTATTTTTATGAGTAAAATTTTAAATTGTATCACTACTATCCAAAAAAATTATAAATTTATAAAAAATGTAAAAATTTACTTTATAAAATAAAATTCTATGCAAATAATAAGTATGTAAAAAATTCCATGATAAGTTTTGACCTCATAAGTAAGGGAAAAACTGCCTATGAATTACTGAGTACAAGAACTAGTACGTATTACCAATACCATATCCAAATTCTACATTCATACCAAAATGCACAATTTGTGAAAATTTCAAAGACATAAAAAATATTAAAAATACGATTATTAAAAAAATTAAAAAACAAAAATTTACGTTTAAAAAATTTATACAAAGACTGTAATATTATTATTTGAATATCAATACATGAGTTATAAATGTTAGGATAACGTAATGTTCAACTAAACACCTATTAGAATCACTCGCTCTCTCTCACATAACGAATTATTTCGAATTTCATTTCAAAGTTTCCCTCTAGATTTCTAGATAAAAATTCTCTATAAAAAGTCTTATTATTCTCTGGATTAATTGCGACTAAGAAGAATACCAGTGTCACTTACTAATTTTTTATTTAATAAAATTTCATAGTAATAAAAATACATAATTATTTTCAATTAAAATTCATTTATAAACAAAATACTAAATAATTTTTTTTTCTTTTTACTTAATTTTATTAGTTTAATTTTGTTGGAAAACTCTTAGGTCCTAAAGGAAATTCAATGAAACGTTTACAGGAAGATACAATGTGTAAAATGGCTGTATTGGGTCGCGGTTCAATGAAAGATCGAAAAAAAGAAGAAGAATTACGAGCAAGTGGTGATCCACGTTATGCACATTTAGCTGAAGATTTACATATAGAAATATCAACATTTGCAGCACCAGCTGAAGCACATGCTAGAATAGCATATGCATTAGCTGAAGTTAGACGATTTTTAGTACCGGTAAGTCAAAAATTTAAATAAAAATATCAGGCAAATTTTTATTAAAAATTTTATTAAGTTTTACAATTCGCCTTCTTATATTTTATATTTAATTTCCTTGATTATTATTTTGGATAACAAACATAAAAACAAGAAAAAAAAATTATGCACCCATAAACAAGATTACTTTTTTCTTTTCTTCAACAAAAAAAAAAAAAATCCCAAAACTATAAAAATTGATTTTAAATGACAGAATCCTTAATTTTTTTTTCCATACCTACCAAAAAATTGTATCCATTTTTTATAACTTTTATTTTATTTTCTTTTAATGGAAAAACTTTTATAAATTCCAATTTTATTTTATTTTGAATATATTTTGATATATGATCTACATTCCATTCTCAAAAATGAAGATATTTCAAAAAATACTTTAAGTCCTGAGTCCTGAGTTCATTTTCATATTTACACAATGACACAACCATAATATATAAGATTTTTAAGTTCATAAAATGTCGTAATATTATTTTTTTTAAAGTATTTTATGACATAAAAAGGATAATATTTTTTTTTGCAATTTTATGTGTACTATTTTTTGAGAAAAATTTTTTAAAAATTAAAAACTATAAAATAAATACATATAAGGTTTTTACATAAATTTGCAATAAAAATAAAATAATAAAAAAAAATTTGGAAACTGAAATTGGTGATGAGAAATAAATTTTAAATTTAAATTTTTGTGACTAAACTTTTTGTTATTCAAATTTATTGTAGTACAACCGCAATTAAATTGATTATTCTGTTAATTCGACCTGAAAATTTAACATTGTTCTCTATATATTCATTAAAATTATTGGACCAAATACATAAATTACTTCAATTACTGAAATTCATTACAGTTTTTCACTCTTATGATGCGATACGAAAAGAGTAAAATTTGTAGAGTAAATTAAAATTAAACTATTCCAAACTATTCCAAATATATTTTATTGAATTTCTTCTTTCAAAACAAAAAAAAAAATTTGTTAATTAATATTATGAAAAGATTTTTGAACAATCGATTCATTATTACAGTAATACTGGTCCCTATAACAAAAAATTTGGATTTCAATTTCAAAATTTAAATATTGGATACGCCCGAATAGGCCTTCAAATGTATTAAACTATTCAATTAGTGAACAGGTTATTAAACATTCATTATCATACTCTTTGATTCACATCTCTGAATTATTTTCTTTGTGAGTAATTTCAGAAAATAATCTTAAACGTTAACGAGATATTGAAACGGAAAACGTTGCAAAAAACTCGTCCGTTATTGAACAAAACACCCTATAAATTATCCTTTATTAATTAAATCAACATAAATGATCACAATTTTAATCTGCTTAAGCATTTTTTTTACCTTGCTATTGTAATAGCCTTCATATTTAAAAATTTAAAAACTATTTTTGACCTTTGGTAATAAATCGTCAAATTTTCTTAACTGTAATTTGTTTTTTGGGATAAAGAAAATATTTCAAATATAAATGAAAACCATTTATAAAAAACTGTACAGAAACTCAGTTCCAGTAATCATTTGATTTATTTTTATTTATAATTTATAAGCTTATCGTATATACGAGTAGAACGAAAAATGTTAATCTTAAAGAAGTTTCTGTATCTTGCTTCAATTCTCATTGTAAATTTATTCGCTCTTTAATATTTTCAAATCAAAGCCATAATATACATATGGTCACCGATCAAATATGTACACATATATACAAACATATTTATATTTTGGAATACATGTATGTATAATATGTAAATAAAATTCTTACAGTTGATTATACATTTTAAGGATAACAATATAATGATGAGAAAAAATTTATTGTTATACAAAAGTCATTGTCAGAATTTATACACCGTAACACATGCATAACTAACTATACTTATATTTGGGTATACATGCTTAAAGTTGTTTTTTTTTTCGCTCACCATGCGATTGTTAAACATTTTGACAGCAGCCTTGTTTATTATAAATATACATATTTATATATGTATGCTTGTATGTTTATATTCATAAATTTGCGTGTAAAAATTCACTCAAATTCACATATTATTCATGGATATTTTTTTTTTAGTTTTTCTGTTATATTTTATTATGTCAGACAAGAGAGCAAAAGTATTCTCAATTTCAGAAAATCCATACAAAAATGTAACGGAACAAGAAAAAAAATAAAAATTAAATAAAATAAATTTTTGTATTTGTATAAGAGTAAGTAAGTATATAAGGATGTATAGAATATATTGATTTAATAAATGGGGTTGCAATGGGCTACATTAGGATGTTGTCATAAATAACATTTAAGACAATCCTATTTATTAAAACTTAAAGGATACTTTGTTGGCCCTTAAAGTAATAAATTAGTGATTTACATTAGAAACAGTCAAAATATTCACATATTATGATTAGTTACTTAATGCACCTTAATTTCCCATATAGTGAACAATTAACCCTTCATCTGCCTTAATATGATAAAGTTAACGATGTTGTCAGAATATAGACGCTCTCATTTCTCAGTAAATTCACATTTCTCTATTAATTATATCTCGCTTTTACTAATCTTACGAAATTCATTGCATTTTCTCAAATCGAACGTGTGTTTGTGGTTAACAGGTTACAATAACAATTAAAACAAATGGTAATCATTGGTAGAATTCGCCTGATTCATTGGTAAAATTAAAGAACATGCAATATTTTTAATAAAATCTATTATTGTAATTAAGTTGATTATGTTATTTAATACAGTCAAAATACTTTAAATTCCCAGCACTGCTATTCTCATAATCGTACAACATAATTGTAATGTACGAGTACGTCTAATAAAATGTTAATAATTGCAACGGAATTCAATATATAAATGTTATTCAAAATAACTAAATCGCTCAATTATGTAAATTAATAAACTATTGAATTCTACATTACAAACGAAATTAAATAAAAGGTACGCTATATAGCAATCACGCTACATTGTATTAAAAACAAAAAAACGAGGGAAAAACTGTAATAAAAGAAATATGAAAAATAAAATAAAAAATATAAATAAAATGTTTGGATTCATGATCCATGAATATGGAATCAAATTTAATGAAATATCCTAGATTTATTTCAATTTCTGTTATTCTTCATTTAATTTAGTTTGCCATTTCTACCGTACATTCATTTCCAAGTTCAATTCAAGCAAAGGCAGAAGAATAAATAACTAGACAAATTTTTATTTCCCCCGCCCGCCCCTACTCTTTTAAATGAAAATATATATTTAGTCTGTCGAAAAATTCACTGAGAAAATTAAAAGAGAAAAATAATGAAATTTTTCATTATAGTATACGGTTACAACATTGGTTTTCAGCGTCAATTTCCCGTTTTTTCTTTTAGTCATTGTTGCGGGAAAAATTAATCAATATCTCACTTTTAATATTTTTATTTTCTTTTCATTTGTTTTTCATTCTTTTATTTTTTTTTCTTTTTGTATTATTATTACCATGTTTCCAAGTTAGATTTATTGTTAATTTCTGCTTCAGAAAATTTTTGATATACATATTCAAATTAAGATGTCCTTCCATTAAAAACTATAGAATTGAAACCTTAATCAAAAAAAAACCTGTACGTGAATTTGAATTTGATATTTAATAAAAATTTATTAAAATACACTTGTTATGTATAAAAGTTTTTAAAAACGATATTAAATAATTTAAAAATTTAAATTTTTAGAATTGGATATTTTTTTGTATATAAATTGAATGAATTTTTATGAAATGGATGTTGTTAAAGGCGTACAACTGCTTAAATCCACAGATCTTTCAGACAGGCAAAATAATATTGAAACAGGTAGTGTTATACAATTCAATATTGCAGGTTCAAACCCTAAATTTTACATTTTATGAAAATTATAATTTTAAATTAAAAAAATAAATATTTTAATTCAATTAATTATAATGATACACTAAAAGTTTTCAATAACAATTTTGAGCAACAATATACCGTAAGATGAAGCAGAAAATACAAATTAATGAATGAGGCGAAACTTTACTATTGTGGACTTGATATAAAACATATCTTATATCCATTCCATAATTAATTTTTCAATAACTGAAAGTAGTTTTAGGGGAGCAGATTAAATAAATATAATATTTCAAATTTTCAGTTCAAAACTATGTTTTAAGTTAATATTTTAAAATACAATAGAAATAGTTTTAAACTTTACATAAAAAAAGAAACTTCTAAGCCTTCAAGATCCGACATTAGTACAACACACTAATTTTTAAATATTTTATGACTAAAAATAAATATGAAACATGAAAATTTAAAAAATTATTGTTGAGAGTTTTAGCTGAGGAAAAAAAAAATGAAAATTTTTTATGGTTTTCATTTGTTGTAATTTTTTTTTTCGGTTTAGAAAAGTTTCTAGTACAAAATCATTTTTAAAAATGTAAAAAAAAAAGAGTTCAAGGTTAAATGAAATTTTCAAAAATGGAAAACATTAAAATAGGAAGGTTCATATTTTATACGTTATAGTTTATATGGAGTAGAAATTTTCCAAAAAGAAACTGTAACTTTTTTAATTTATATTAAGAATTTTTATTTTAAAAAACCCCTAATATGAATATTGAGTGTTAATGTATGTGCCCTAATACGTATATGCTGTTCATATTGTCATTCTACACTTCTAAAATGTTTTTTACGTATTAGAATAAATTTATTTGCTTTAAGATTGAGAAGTCATTCAAAACGCGTCTAAATCTGCATCGTTGTAATGTACAAAATTTCAAAGAAATCTTTCCATCAATCTATAACGATGTCCATAACCATGTATGAAAGTCCTGGATCCTGCAATACACATCCTATCAAAATAATACATTCTAATACTACTCGGCCCACGAAATATCGCTATACGTCGTATTTTCAATTTCTTTTGCCAACGACATTTTATTTTTTTGTGGAGGATCACCTTTTTCTATGATCATAATGCTTGGTAACAATATCA